AATATTCCTGTCAGATTTATAAATTACATTACTTAAATGACTCTCACGAAAGTAATGGCAGCAAGCAAATGTTAAGTTAGTTTTTGTTGCTTAATTTAACGAATTATCTAGACATGTTGGGTCGAACAACACATAAATCAAATTAATTAACATATAATTAAACGTGGGTCCGGTTTGCACTAAAATCAAAATGGTAGACATAGCTCTAGTGTACAGTAGAGTAAAAACAAATGACATCTCTCCGGTTTAAAATATAACCCAAAAGATCGACATCGGTCTGGTTAACACTAGAATAAAAAAATTATAGGTGGGTCTGATTTACACTAAATTCAAAAAACATAGACATATGTGTAGTTAAAGTAGACATCGGTCCGGTTAACACTAGAACCAAAAAGTAATAGGTGAGTCTGATTTAAACTAAATTCAAGAACATAGATATATATCCAGTTAAAGCAGACATCGGTCCGGTTAACACTAGAATCAAAAAATTATAGGTGGGTCTGATTTACACTAAATTCAAAAACATAGACATATGTCCAGTTAAAGCAGACATCGGTCTTAACACTAGAATCACCAAGTAGACATGTACTCGGTTAACACTAAAGTGAAAAAGTTACATTGGTTCAGTTAACAGCACATTCAAATAGGTCCGGTTTACACTAAAATTTAAAAGGTATAAATAGGTCCAGTTTACACCAAATTCAAAAACGTAGAAATCAGTTCGGTTTACACTAAAGTAAAAATAGGCAGACATCGGTCTGGTTAATACTAGAATCAAAAACGTAGAGAAAGGTCCAGTTAACACTACAATAAAAAAAGTTTACATATGCCCAGTTTTCACTAAGATAAAAATGGTAAAAGTATATACGGTTTACACTGAAGTAAAAAATGCAGAAAACAGTCCAGTTCATCAGAATCACAACAATAAACATTAGCCCATTTTACACTAAAGTCAAAAAGCAGACATCAGTCCGGTTAACACTAAAATCTCAAAAGTAGATATGGGTCCAGTTTATACTAAAGTCAAAAAGATGATATAGGTCCAGGTAATAGAAAATTCAAATAGGTAGACTTAGGTACTGTTTACACTAAAAAGGTAGCTATAGGTCCAGTTTACACCACTTTATTAGTCTGTACATCTCTAGATTCTTGACTAAATCCAAAGAAAAGTTCCATCTGTGGAACGCCCTTCCGATTTTTTGCTCCCTCGATAACTACAATCTTCAAAAATGTAAATGCAACATCAATATAATCGATCCTGACCTGGCATCTCGACTTCAGTCATTTTCTCACCGACGTGACATGGCTTTCCCCTGTCTTCTCTAGAACTATTTTCATGGTAACTGATGAGCTTTCTTCCCCTGGTGAAATTTAAGTGTACTGCTTGATTGGCAACTAGGTCTCACCAGTTGAACTAGCAGTAGAGCCCGGCGTTGCCCGGGAATATAACAGTAAGAGATAGATCAAGTATCCACCATCATAAAGACTGAAAAATAAAATTGACAAAGATTATTGTTTAAGGTTGACGGACACGCATGTCTTAATTTTTTTTTTTTTTTTTTTTTTACGAATTGGTCAAACCCAAACTCAAACAAAAACATTGTTTTCAATCGTTTTGAGTCTCTACCGATTGAATAGAATTTTATTATAAACAATTGTCTTGTAAATGGAATTTTTAAAGCATTCTGAATGTAAAAATAAAGAAAAAAGTGTGCAAGACAATAAGAAACACTACATACCAAAAAAAAGTGAAGTTTTGTTGAAATCGGTTGAAAAATGGAGGTAGCTTTTCTGTAATCTTTTAGTTTTACAATTTATGATTTTTACTTATTGAATACAGTAAAAAAAATTGCATATTTTGCTTGTGGTGATTCATAATTAGAATTCTGAATTGAATATATTTTCCACTCGTTGTTTCTAATACAAAAAATATTAACTTTATTTGGGTTTATTAATTATGATCTAACAAATCTTATTCATTTAGTAGCCTTTCTGTAATAATAATCTTTTACAATTTATGATTTTTACTTATTGAATACAGTAAAAAAATTGGACACCATGTGTATTTAAAGTAGTTTCCCGTTCCGGTTATTATTTTTAGTTAGGACTTGTGTATGTTTAGATTTCATTATCTTTCCCCAAAGATAAATAATTTATCCGATGTTTGTATTCGTACAATCAGTAGAGATCGTTAGATTATTGTTTAAGGTTGACGGACACGCATGTCTTAATTAGTTTTTATTTTTTTTTTATTTTTTACGAATGGGTCAAACCCAAACTCAAACAAAAACATTGTTTTCAATCGTTATGAGTCTACCGATTGAATAGAATTTTATTATAAATAATTGTCTTGTTAATGGAATTTTTAAAGCATTCTGAATGTTAAAAATAAAGAAAAAAGTGTGCAAGAGAATAAGAAACACTACCTGCACAAAAAAACGGGAAAAATATAGGAAATCCGCTCCCATATTTAAAGGAACCCACACACACAAACAACCCGATGTGAGTTGTCCCCCTTCCATTTTCACGATGTCTCTTAATCGTGTTTTCAAATTGATTTTATACAAAAACAATTGCATTTTTCCCATTTTTGGCGCTGTTAGAACCACCACAAGGTAATTTTATGTAGTCCTGTGGAGTTTTGTTGAAATCGGTTGAAAAATGTAGGAAATCCGATCCAATATATAAACTTTACACACACACACACACACACACACACACACACACAATCTGCGTTTTATAATAAGTAAGACTAGCTAGATGCACCCGCCACTTCTAGTCTAAGAGTTTATTTTCTAGTTTGGCAACTATGTCTCACCGTTTTACTGTGGAACTAGCTAAATGCAACCGGCAATTCTACTCTAAGAGTTTATTTTTTCTAGCACTTCCCATCTGTGGAACTTCCTTCCGATTTTTTGCTTCCCTGATAACTACAACCTTCAAGAATGTAAATGCAACATCAATTGACATCTTCTGTCTTCTTGAAGCCTGTTCCTTTTTTTGTCCTTTCTTCAATCCTTCTCATTTTCAGTCTTTTCGTTCTCTTTCACTGCCTGTAATCCCCTGCGTTTTAGCGGCATTATCACCTTGCTTGCGGTGAAACAGTTAATATAAATGCATATTGTTAGATGCTGTTACTGTAAGTTGCCGCTGAGCTGATCGTCCTCTAACTAGTTCATTTATTTCATTGGGTAAAAGGAGCCGATTGGTATGGACAAGGCAGCAATTTTTAGTTATTTTTTTATACATTATATTTAGTTATTTTTTTTTTAATATTTTTTTAAAAAAGTATTTCTGTTATTAAAACCTATTTTTACACTTTCATAGTGTTTTTACTACAGTTTCGGGGTTAACTATTTACCCATAGCTTGGACCCTAACAGGTGCTACCACCCCGAGTCAGGGTAGACCATGAAACACCAGCAATTAAACCAATCAAAACCTCTTAATCAGAGGCCTTGCTGCTGGACGTAGTTTATCGTCTTACCCAGGACGACGACGAGTTGGATCTTCACTTGGTTGGGCGCTTCGACGTAGTACAATCGTTAGAAAGATTGTTTCGATAAATCAGTTATGACTGAGTAGTGAGTTCGATCCTCACCGGATGCTAGGGTTTGCGCCACATCTTAGCTACGATTAGAAAATCTTTGAAGTACATTGCGGTATGGTGTGATGACTATCAAGCTTGTCTCGTTAAATCAATTGCAACTGAGTAGTGAGTTCGATCCTCACTGGGTGCTCCACAATTTCAGTCATGTGGCACATCTAAACTACGCTTAAAAATCATTTTGGCACTTCGACTTAGCAAGCTTAGATCACTGTATGCCTCGTTATTTCGGCTTTGTGCCACATCTAACCTACGGCTAAAAAATCACCATAAGTAATGTTCTTGCTCATCTGGTTAAGACGTGTGTTTGTAATAATATTAAAAATGGAATAATTTAAAATACTTCAGTAGTAGTTCGGAAAGCCATACAAACAACAAAAAAGTACCAAAATAAACGTCAAACAGAAAAAACAGGAAAAAATAATACATAATATAATATATATTTCATATGAAACTCATATATTAATATAATATAATATAATAAAGTTTGTAAAATTTAAAAATAATAAATGTTGCAACAGGTCGTGGTCAGACAACTAAAAAAGAAAAAGTTGTCGGCATTAAATAACCCATTGATGTTGATATGCCGTAAACCAAACCAAACCAAACCAAACCAAACCACCATGTCGTAATAGATCTAGCCAGACAAGCTTGCTATTACACTACGTCCAAATGCCCCTAATGATTTTCTAAGCCTAGCTTACAAGTCGTACATGGTCGTAAGTGTGGAACATTCAGTGAGAACTCACTACTCGGTCGTAATATACTTAGCGAGACCAGATTGTTAACCATTACACCACGTAGAACATTGCTTATGTGGGTGTGTAGTTGTTTCTGGATGTATGTGCGTGCCTTTCATTAGATCTGCTCATATCAAAATTTAATGTCTAATCGATAAAATGTCATTCAAACGCAAGTAATTGACTGTGATCAATATTTGATTAAGAAACGGTTTTTTTTATCATTTTGTTAAACACACACACACACACACACACACACGCACGCGTAAGCATTTAATTCAATTAGTAATTTCATTAATGAAGATACGCCATATTTTTAGCCGCTTTCATAAAAATTCAGCGCGTATCGTAATATTTGCATAGATGAACCAGTGAATTTCTTATTCTGAGTGTGTGAAGGTCTCTTGTTGAACGTAAGCCCTCCTCAGATTAATGGAGAGGAAGGGACAATTCCCCTACGCGCTGACCCAATGCCTGTTAGTAGGGGGTGAATGTGACTCGCCTGGGCGATCAGATCTGCTTTTGATTCAGGATCGCCCAAGGGTATTTGCGTGTAAGCGAATGCAACGAAGCCGACCAGAATTCGAACTCTGCTCTTTGATTTCTAATCCCGGGCCATTATTCATTACACCACCCGTACGTCGCACACCCTAGCTTACAGCCCCTGGTACTCCCAAGAGGTCACTCATCTAGGTTCTGACTAGGCTTGATATCGCTTAACTTCGGTGATCTGACGAGAACCTGTGAATTTAAGCTTTTTTTTACGCCGTGTCCTTTCAAGACGTTGGTGATTATGTCTCTCCACAATTTCCTAGCGCTTAATATATTTTGTCTTTTTGTTATCTCTACGAAACTTTGTTCGGCCATCTATTTAAAGAAGCGTGCTGTATAGGTATGCCATACGTTGTTTTCGTTTGCCCTTCTGGTCCTCAATCAGTCCCGTGAGTATCAAATTTTCCAAGTCCTCTTTCCTCATTATGTGTCCTAAAAATTGTCTCTTCCTGATGTTATATTGATTTTCCAAGCGTAGTTTAGATGTAGCAAGAGGCCGAAAGCAGAGGGAACTCAGTGAGGATCGAACTCACTACTCAGTTTAATTATTCTAGCGAGACAAGCTTGCCAACCATTACACCGCCCCGAGGTACCCTCTTTTCCGAGCGTAGCCCGGATCTGACACAACGCCGAAAGTATGGTGGCACCCAGTGAGGATCGAACTCACTACTCAGTCGTAATTGTTCTAGCGAGACAAGCTTGTTAACCATTACGCCACCTCGGGGTGCCCTTATTTTCCAAGCGTAGCACGGATGTGGCACAAGGCCGAAAGTAAGGGGCACCCAGTGAGGATCGTACTCACTACTCAGTCGTAATTGTTCTAGCGAGACAAGCTTGCTAACCATTTCACCGCCTTGAGGTGATCTCCCGATGTTAAATATAAGTGTCCTTTTTGTCTCCATTTTCTCTAAAATTTCTTCGTTGCTTCACATATTCGGTCCGTGTCGTCCTCAGCATCCTCCTGTAGAGCTATCTTTCTGTTGTTTCCAGTCGCTTCTTAACCTTTGAGGAGATTGTCTGATTTCACGTAAGAGTTCAGAACTCTTTTCTTTGTTTCTAACGAAGTGTTTCTGTCTCTTTATACTTTGCTCAGCTTCTGGAAGGCATCTTTGGCGCACAAAAAAAAAATTTCATAACGGAATTGCACCCACCATCGTATCTCGAACATAAAATGAAAATTAACCAAAGTTCAGTTTCATGGGGGCGTCCCCCACCAACCTATACCCCCCTCCCAGTTGAACATAGTCGTATGAAGATTATGATGAACCTTGACCTCCGCTTTACCTGTGTTAGAGAAAAATAACGTAATGCCTAGCTCCCGGTTGAACCGTGATAGAGAAAAATGACTTAATGCCCAGCCACCGGTTGAACGGTCGGTAGACATTTGTAACTATTTTTATGTCTACTGTGAAACATTACATAGGAATTATTTGCGAATTTTGACTCAGGAGCTCAAGCAGAAGAATTAAAATTGCAAGGTTCAAAGGGTTAGCGAGAGGAAATGGACAATTTCTGAAATTATCGGCATTTAGGCACAAGGTACTCTACCTTGTATCAAGCCTACCGTCATTAGAAGCCGGTTCAAGCAAGGATATGCACCGAGGCCTGTTGGAACAGTTGGTATGACGTTTGCCTGATAACGTAACAATTTCAGTGGATGCGCACTGCTGATGAGTCCCAAATATAGAACGAAACGGCCGTCCAGTGCTTTCTGCATTCTCTTGAGATTTCTTCTAGACTCGATGAATTACTTTATATATATATATATATATATATATATATATATATATATATATATATATATTCATACATGTTTCATTAAATAATATAGACAAGTGTCTATTTTATGTAAATTCTTTTCATAACGTCTAAGCTTCATAATGTTATCATTAAACGAAGAAAATCACAATATTGATGATAGTCTGTTTCTGTTTACATCATCACTGTCTTGTCCGTATATTGCATAATATATTGTACAGTAATTGTCATCTTTGATAATGGCTTATCTAAGCCGAAAGTTTAGATTGGATTAAAAAATATGTATCAATAATGTGATTTTCTTTCTTCGTTTAATGATAATGTTATATATGATAATGTTAATATATATATATATAATGTTTAATGATAATGTTATATATATATATATATATATATATATATATATATATATATATATATATGCACGCGTGTGTGTGCGTAGAAGGCACGGATAGCGAATCCATTACAATCACTTACGTGTTAATACCCTTGGGAAAGGTGTGAATCCTCTTCTTCTCCCTCCAGCTATGGGTAAATAGCAGAACAGACTGGGTTCTATAGCCTTGGATGGCAACTGGTCTAGGAGAAGGACAACTCTGAATTCAAAACCTGCGGAGGGTCGTTTGGGGACCTTCTGGCACTTAGTGCACCAGGTCTCTGTATTCGGCCCTTCAAAAAGTGTGGATGGTCTTGCACGAAACCTTCACCACTATAATCAAATCTCATGTACTGTTGTCGGGCTGTCGGTTTCCTAGGAACTGATCTGCTTGACCCTCATACGTCGAAATCGACGGGTGAGTCGAGTATGTGTATAATAAAAATATATATATTTTTTTCATTAGTTGCCCACTGACACACTACTCAACGCATTTCAATGTGATATTCAAAATGGCCCTTTGTTCTCCTGGATACTTCTTAGGTGTAGGATTTATTTTTCACGTTTCCCGAAAGGAATGTGTCAGAATATGACTGTTTTAATAAACAATAGAAATTAAATTATTCCGAACTATCGACACGCTGACGCATTCCTGTTGAGAAAGAAAAAAAAATTACAGCAAACAATCTCCAGACCTCGGAGGCGTCCAAGGATAACAAGCATCCATTTTGAAAAATATGTTTTCCTTGTGTGTCTTAAAAAGCCGTTTTAAAAGTATTTAAAATAGAGCTCACTTTCTTTCTTTTTTTTTGTTAATAGAGTTCTTCCCAAACAAGGAAGTAAGGCCGCTGAGATGCAAAGGATTACTGGATGTGGAAGAATTAGAAAACAAAAAATATTACTAAGTAACGAGAATAAAATAAGTGTAATAAGGACAGTGGATAGCGATTAACATTACATTTACATTTTTGAAGATTAAAGTTGGCTGGAAAGTATGGTGTCGGAAGGTATTTCCACAAGCGAGAAGTGCGAGAAAAAAAAACTGTCAGCATAGAATTTACGGCTACATCTAGCCAGATTGACTGTAAATTGGTGAATCCTCATCGCCAGTATAGTACTGCACTTAAGTTTGAATAAGTCTATGCGCCATAGTGAAGAGCGATATTTAATTGTAAATATTTACAAAATCTGGCACAAGGCAAATGGGGAAGAGGACGGCCTTCATCTGTCTTAACTTTAAACTTAGCCACAAATACTGACCCAAGAATACCACAATATTCCTAACACCAAAAGAACGCATTCATACTTACTTTTCTTACTACATTCACCGTAATACCTCATTGTCTCTATGAAAATTCTCACTAGTCCCCATATGTACAATTCATAGCGAAGAGTTTATCCGAAGAATTACCATGAAAGTATTTATAGAAAAGGCAAAGGGAGGCAACGATACGTCAGTGGCAAAGGGACTAAAACCGAGCGGCCAGATCAGGGTCATTAATATTGCTGATTATTCTTTGGATTTTATCGAGGATCTCTAGACAGATAGCAGGAGCAGCAGACCATATGTAGCAGCAATATTCTAACTATGGACGAATGGTAGACTTATAGATATGTAAGATAGACACTGGAAAAAAACCCGTCCTGTATATAAGAAAAAATTTACAAATCATATATTCATGTGTGTGTGTACGAGGGCGTACTGAAATCTTGTCAGCCCAGTCTAGCAGATCCTTATTATTAACTAGTGAGTTCGAACCTCAATGGGTTCCGCATAACGAAGAGTTTATCCGAAGAATTACCATGAAAGTATTTATGGAAAAGTCAAAGGGAGGCAACGATACGTCGGTGGCAAAGGGACTGAAGCCGAGCGGCCAGATCAGAGCCATTAATATTGCTGATTATTCTTTGGATTTTATCGAAGATCTCTAGATAGATAGCAGGAGCAGCAGACCATATATAGCAGCAATATTTCAACTATGGACGAATGGTAGACATATAGATATGTAAGATAGATACTGGAGAAAAAACCGTCTAGAATATAAGAAAACGAATATACAAATCATATATTCATGTATGTGTGTGTGTGTGTACGAGGGCGTATTGAAAACTTGTCAGCCCAGTTTAGTAGATCCTTATTATTAACTAGTGAGTTTGAACCTTACCGGGTTCCGCATAGTTTTGATTAAGCTTTGTAAATGGCACCAGCAACTCACTAGTGAGGGCGAAAATATGGAACTCTCCAACCCACCTTCATCGGCCCGCACTCACGTACTGATAAATGTTTCTAAAGACTTTTATTTTTCAAATACGTATCATTTTAGGACGTAGGCGATCAAGTCTGTAAACAATCAGCTTTTGTTTCACTGGATTTGTAAATTCTAAGTCGTCATGACGATTCCTGGGAAAGTTAACAAAATGGGTTCCCGTTGCCTTCGTTATGAGTTGGAATTCAAAAAAGTTTCTTTTATAAAAGTGCTTTCTCTATCCAAGCTAGAGAAGCTAGCCTACCCTACTATTTTACCGGTAGTTGTTGCGTACAGAAATGGATTCACGCGTTTAACAAAGTTATAAGCTCAAAGTGAAAATAAGCACCCTTAGCAGGAATTTGAACTCGTTCTGTCAATTTCATTATTCACGTCGAAAACTGTTACGCCACCTACCCACTTACATTATATGACTGATTGAGTGATTGACTCGTTTTCTACGGCTTATCAAACCTTTGTCGGACATTTAAAGCCAGAAATTATTTTTAGATTGTAACAATTTTTTTGGTGGTGGTGATAATATAGTATATATATAATATCAACAGGATCATTTTCCAACTTATTTAAGATGATCTTCGCCCACTCTAACCTTCTAATTTTCTCTCCTGGAGTAACAAGGTGCGACACACGTTTCACGTACGATTTCATTTTTAACTCTTTTTCACTGCTCTTTGGACTGTCATACCTAAAACTGAGAGAGGCAGAGAGTTCAACCAGCACAGCTGGAGACGAATCTCCAAAGAATTGGCGAAGTAAGGTTATTTACCTTAGGTCCCCAAATATATAAAGGCAGGATAC